TGGCTGTGTGTGGTTTGGTGTCTTCAGCAAGGTGAATCTACTCTGAGGTGCAACAGTTTGCTTTGACCACCCTAAATCCTTGCTCACACCAGCCACCATGAGTCAAGCAGACGTGCAGCAGTAGCTTCCCCATGATCCATTAGGAACAATGGGGCTACCATGGGATTAAACCATGCAGTGATGCTTCCCCACATGTGATGGGGCTGGTGTGCCAGGTTTGCCCTGCTGCTACTCCAATTTGACACAGAAGCTGATGAATCACAACACTGGACCTCACCCACATGATGAGGTCCTTAGAGGAAGTTGCCTTTGCAAATAGAAGCCAGTAAGAATGTCAGAACTGTTCAATTTATTGTGTAACTGCCTGCTTACAGCAACATCATGGGTGTATGCTTGGCGTTACAAGCTCCTGGCTTTCAGATAACCAGTTTATTCTTCCTAGGTCAAAGAAAGACAAAGCTATCGGGGTTGTGATAATGGTGTCTCATTCTCAGGTTGACAAAATAGCTGCTGTTGTGGAGAATGAGGATGTTGAGGCAAAGAGGCACCACTCCAGGAAGGTTTTTTGGGGGATCAACAAATGTTCTCATTCTGGGGATGTACCTGTGGGAGATAACAGACACATAATGGATTGCCTGCTTGGTGCAAAACTTGTGAAAACTGCACATTATCTAGATAGCCTGGTTGATAATGTTGAGGTTGAGTAAGTACTCATGATGCACAGTGGCAGCAATGTTCTGAAGAAGTGTAGTTATGAGATCTTGACATTTCCGGCTTTCTCGTTTTTGGTGGAAATCTAGGATTTCCTTTTCTCTGAAACACTTCAGGTCAATTGGACAGGTGAATTTAAGGAGTCTATATGAAGTGGTAAGACTCCTCAGCTTCAACTAGAGCAGATAGCATTTCAGAAGTTTGTGCCTTAAGAGACCACAAAATGTTTATTCTGATTCTGATTCTTCTTCTTCTTCTTCTTCTTCTTCTTCTTCTTCTTCTTATTATTATTATTATTATTATTATTATTATTTGGCTTGTGTATCCACACATATGTCATACACCAAAAAAGATCAGGATCAGACAGAGGTCCAGTTTTAGTGACAGAATGCACAAAAATTTCCTAAATAAGATAATATAGACCTAATAGACAGTGTAGCATTGAGCTTTTAATAAAGCAGTTAGGGGCTAAGCAAAGTGATACAGAATAATGACTATTTTCCAGAATGTGAGTTATTCAGTTTTCCAGTGCTGTCAGCTTGTATTAATAGCAACAGTGTATGCTGAGACTGGAATGTATTCAAATACAAGGTGCTACAATTTCTGAAAGCACATTGTGCACCAAACAATATCCTAGAGCATCATTGGACACATTGAGCAAAACCCCATATTTTGAATTCTTAGTCATGTTTGACAGTCTTCCTTAAACTATATAGACATCTTTAAAAAAAGAAAGTCTTCCTCCAATTTCTGATCTTGTAGAGATGTAGGGGTGCTAATATTTTCACCTAATGAGAATCTTAATTCTAACAATTCGTAAAAGAAACTGTTAAGTAAACAGAAGGTGCCAGGCTCAGTTTTTCTTTAGTGCTCATGTGAGTGTTTTACTTCTTTATTGTGCAAGTGGCGAATCAATGGGTAGGGAAGGAAATTTGATTTCAGATTGCTTTTGACATGAAATCACCATCATTCACAAAATTTCTAAAAATTGGTTACAAAGAACTTGAGTTTGTTTGTTGTTGTTTGTAAGTGGAATGTGGGAGAATTTGAAAGGGATAGATTTATCCTCTCCCATTTTCCAATTTATTGTGATCCTAAAGTGGATTACATCTTCTATTACCCTTGGCTACATTGATTGGGACTCACTAATAGCAGTCTAAAAACATCTAGAACATCATATGATTCCAACTCCTCTTGGTAATAGTTTTTTTGGGTTGTTTCTTTTCTTTCTTTTTTTACATTTACACTAACTTGTTTTAAAAATGAATAAAATGGGGCTCTACTAATATCTAGATCACAGGAAATATTTTGAGAGATGTTGGAATTAAAGAACATTCTCCAATCAGTACTTAAATGCAGTAGTGGAAAGGATATCCTTTTGCTTCCAGATCATGCTTATGTGCCATATGCCAGCAAATATGGAAAACGCAAGAATGGGCATCAGACTGGAAAAAAGGGAAATGCTAAAGAATGCTCAAACTTCCATACAGTGGCCCTTATTTCTCATGCCAGTAAGGTAATGCTCAAGATCCTGCAAGGAAGATTCCAGCAATACATGGAAGGAGAGTTCCCAGATGTGCAAGCTGGGTTTAGAAAAGGCAGAGGAACAAGAGACCAAATTGCCAATATCCACTGGATAATGGAGAAAGGCAGGGAGTTTCAGAAAAACATCTATTTCTTTTTTATTGACTATTCTAAAGCCTTTGACTGTGTGGATCATAATAAATTGTGGCAAGTTCTTGGTCGTATGGGCATACCAAATCACCTTGTCTCTCTCCTGAGAAATGTGTATAAGGACCAAGTAGCAACAGTAAGAACTGACCATGGAACAACAGACTAGTTCAAGATTGGGAAATGCGTACAGCAGGGTTGTATACACTCACCCAACCTATTCAACTTGTATGCAGAACACATCATGCAACATGCGCGGCTTGACAAATCCAAGGCTGGAGTTAAAATTGCTGGAAGAAACATTAACAACCTTAGATATGCAGATGATACCACTTTAATGGCCAAAAGCAAGGAAGAGCTGAGGAGCCTTCTAACCAAGGCAAAAGAAGAAAGTGCAAAAGCTGGGTTGAGTTAAACATAAAAAAAACCAAGATTCTGGCGACTGGACTGATTGATAACTGGCAAATAAAGGGAGAAAACGTGGCAGCAGTGACAGACTTCACATTTCTAGGTGCAAAAATTACTGCAGATGCAGACTGCAGCCAGGAAATCAGAAGACGTTTACTTCTTGGAAGGAGAGCAATGACCAATCTCAATAAAATAGTGAAGAGTAGAGACATTACACTGACAACGAAGATCCGCACAGTAAAAGCAATGGTATTTCCCGTAGTAACCTACGGATGTGAGAGCTGAACCATAAGGAAGACTGAGCGAAGGAAGAGAGATGCCTTTGAACTGTGGTGTTGGAGGAAAGTTCTGAGAGTGCCTTGGACCGCCAGAAGATCCAACCAGTCCATACTTCAGGAAACAAAGCCCGACTGCTCATTGAAGGGAAGGATAGTAGAGGCAAAGATTAAGTACTTTGACCACATCATGAGAAGACAGGAAAACTTAGAGAAGAGAATGATGCTGGGGATAATGGAAGGAAAAAGGAAGAGGGGCTGACCAAGGGCAAGGTGGATGGATGATATCCTTGAAGTTACTGGCTTGACTCGGAAGGCGCTGGGGTGGTGACGAATGACAGGGAGTTCTGGCATGGTCTGGTTCATGAGGTCACAAAGAGTCAGAAGTGACTGAATGAATAAACAACAATAACAAACATGTTTATATATGTCTAATCAAAAGTAAATGTTTTGGTATACAGTATGACTTATTCATTAAAAAAAATAAAACCAGAATACTTTCTTTTCGGCATAACGGATAAAGACATTCCACTGGAAAAAAATGAGGACAAACTGTTCACCTATCTGACAACAGCCGCAAGGATAATATATGCTAAGAAGTGAAAACTAAAGGAACTGCCAACCAAAGAAGAATGGGAAACTAAAGTATCCGAAATTATGGATATGGACCTATTGACATACTACCTAAAAGACCCGGAGGGCAAACCTATAAACCCAACAGACTGGACCCTTTATAAAAATTATAAGGAATTACAATGAAACCCACGAAGACTTGATACTCCCAAGTGAGTACGAGTTATAGAATGGAAAACAAGAAATTAGAGATTTGAAAAATCCAAAAAAGAAGTGACCAACATCAAATAAAAGCACAGTACCAGTATGAAAACTAAAATTACCCAGGGAAGATAAAGGTGGAAGTCAACGAACAGAACCTGCTTCAACTCTGATTTTTAACTGTTATGTATTTCTCTCTCTTTTTTGTTCTTCTCTCTTTCCCCTTTCTTTCCTCCTTTTTCTTTTCCTTTTTTCCTTTATCTTCGACTCTCTGTCGCTTGCCCCCCATTCCCCAATACATCCCTAACCCTTCCCCACACACCCTTATACCCAACCCTGCCCAATCACCCTCCCCCATGCAATCTTTCTGCTTTTAAAATATTTGTAAGCAAAATTATAATAAACATATTTCAAAAAATAAAAAAATAAAAATAAACGTATAATATAGGATTAAAACAATTGACATTCAGTGTGTTTTGGAGACCTCCACCAAATTATAGTTATAGTATAGTACTTTGATGAAAAGACCTGCTAACAAAAATTCAGTTTCCTCCCTGCTAGAGGTTTCTCCCCAGCGTTTCATGGAATTGCCTCATTATTAAACTTTACCTTCTTATTTAATTTCTTTATTAATTAATGCAATGTTCTTAAAATATTTCTATTAACAATTCAGTATTACCCTAACATAGCTGTTTGGATATTCCAGTTAAATTCTGTTTAAAATAGGTTTGGTTTTTTAAAAAAAATAAATAAATAAAACCAGCATGACCCAAAAACGTGTTTCTTTATTAACAGCATGTAATGTTAGGCATCTTAGACGTTCAGAGAACAAGACACAGCTAAATAAACAAGGAGGAGTTTTAATCGCACTATTTTGGGCTTTTAAAGTAACCCCTCCTCTTTGATAAGATTAGAACCTGAATAATATGAAATCAATTTCATGTGTTCTTATGAACAAGTCGCACTGAGAATGCGTAAGCATCCACTGAAGATATTCTATTTGGGGAGGGAAAATGAGGATCCCACCCTCCGTAGGTGCTGTTACAGCAATGGAATCCCTTTGCTCAATATTATCCTGTCCAATGAGGTGGAATGTTTCACAAGCACATGGTTTATGTGTCTCAAAATAACTTGGGACCTGCAAACTGACAAATGCTATTGCTTCAGTGGTGACAGGTTGTCCGGCTTCTTACAGCCATCTTCCCTAAAACGAAGGTTAACGCCTTTCCCCCTTCCGCCGATGGACTCCAAGACATTTCAGTTCCGAAAGACCTGAAGGAGTACCATCGCTTCGGTCATTTAAAATCTCATTTTAAGGAATAATTGCCACCGTGTTTGTGTGCCAGAGTTGGATTTTAACATCTGGACAAACTAGAAAAGGTAATATCTTTAAATTTTCAAGTGTTGCTATGTTTTGATGACCTTGCGCAGGTGCACGGAGGGTCTAGAATAGAGGGTGGCGGGTTGTGTTATGTCTGAATGCTCATTATTGCTGATAAGTCATATTAGGGGAGCAAGTCCCTTTTTTTTACTCTCTGGGTTGAATTACAAAGAGGATCCAAGATTAAAGAGAACCGAATGAGCTTTGGAATCATGAAGACAGACAGGGAGGGATGAGAAAGTTTCCCTTTTTTTATCTCCCTCTTTTTAAACTGCAGTATAAATTGTTATTTAAGAGTCACTAAACCCACACCAACTATTTGCATTTCCTTCTTAAAGAAAATAATACAAGCAAATATTGCTGTGTACTTAAAATCTTTCTTTTTCATAGTGTGTGTATGGTGCATGAGTGAGTGAGAAAGAGAGAATATGTGTCATGTAAAATGATACTGCCAGTTATATTTAGGGTTTGAAGATCTGCTACGTGGATTAATGTACACAACAGCTGCAGGAACAGTTTTGCTCGAAGGGCATTGCTTTCTCAACCCTCACCCTTCTCTCTCTCTCTCTCTCCCTGCAAAAAAAATTTTGACTGTCAGTGGCAAATGTTTGGCATGCTATATTGTAGAGTTAATCAGTAATGGAAAGAACATAATGAAGCAAAATAAATAATTAAGCAAACTCTTAGACTGTGTAGAACAAGGATTTTACACAACATTATATGCAGATAAGTTTGAATATAAATTCTTGGATTTGTAGAGCCAAAGAAAAATAGAAAGAAGAAATATAGGCCATAAGAACAAAAAATTTTAACTAGAAATGCATGCTTGAATAATCCATAGTAGCTAAGGATACTCTTCTTGCCACTTTCCCTTAATGAGCATTTTTAGGAAAAAATGTTTTAAAAATATGGTTCTTAAGGCTACAGAGAAATATTTCTCAAGGCATTTCCCAAGATTTTACTCCAGAGATGCCTGAGCAACAGTTTGAGAATTACAGTTCAATTATTTTCCATTTATAATAAATAGTATATCTTGTGGTAGAATCTAAACATAGAGAGATCAGTTATGCTGACTACTGTAACAGGGATTTCACCTACTTGCCCCACATAAATCAATGATACTGTGTCAGCTTAAAATGTAGCAGAAATGTTATTAAAAGGGGATTATTAATTATGACCTTTCACAATATTCAAATAAGCATTTATTTATTTATTTATTTACATCATTTCTACCCCTCCTTTCTCCAACCCAAAGCCAACTCAAGAAATTCAGGAATGTAATTTTGTGACTCTAAAAATGCAGATATTAGTAGTTGTAGTCTTTTATACATGTTCATAGCCATCTTGTATGGCTTCAATCAGTTTTAATTCCATATTTTAATCAGTTTTTAACTGTTGCTAATTTCATCCAACTGTGTGTTAAATCAATCAGCTGTTGTTAATCTTATTAACCTTGCATATTTTGTACACTTACGGAGCAAAAAGGGTCTTTGAGCAATAATAAAATGTTGTTGTAATAGCAAGCAGTATTTACAGTAGATGCCAAATTGGTTATCAATTTATGGCTACAACTTGAACTGACTTTTTTTTAAAAAAAATCAGTGTACAATAGTATATTTTGCTTTGGATCTGGGATTACAATAGACTACTCCTTTGAAGCCATTTGCTTCTGAGGAATTTGATTAAATCATTGCCTCTAGTATGTCAAAAGGCTGATATCGGTGAAATCAACTGAAAATTTGGTGATTTGTAGTTTGAAAATTGCAGCTCCATTATGTTGAGGGAATCAATTATTTTAATATGTAGTCTTATAAATTACATTTTGGCATTTGTTTCTAATTCATAGCAAAGTTCTCCACATCACTAGAAAAAAACATTACAACTATAGCCTCAAAGTGTGGGTCATCTCATAACCTATCCCATCACAATCCCAACCACCTCTGGTGGATCATTAATATTTTTTCGCTATATTAAAATTAGTTATACAATACTTTGTTAGCTTTGCATCTCTACTAAGCAGGTACTGGACTGAATTTTGTCATCAGATCTATCCAGGGAGTTCTTTCATGGTGCATGGCTGTAACAGAACAGATAGTATTTATATATTTATTTATTTATTTATTTCATTTATATGCTACCCTTCTCACCCCGAAGGGGATTCAAGTAGCATAGAGAGGAATAAAAGACAAAACATCAACATACATTTCTTAGTTTTTAGCAGCCCCAACACTACATCTTACTGCATATACAAGAAAGCACTGCATAGAAAACATGTCAGCAGTTTTTAAAAGCTACAATGTAATATGGTATGTGGCCTATATTTAGGGTCAGTTAAAAAAACTGATGTAAAACAAGGAATGTGTGTGTGTGTGTGTGTGTGTGTGTGTGTGTGTAATGTTCGTTTATGGGATTAACAGAACTCAAAAACCACTGGACGAATTGACACCAAATTTGGACACAAGACACCTAATAACCCAATGTATGTCCTTCACTCAAAAAATTGATTTTGTCATTTGGGAGTTGTAGTTGCTGGGATTTATAGTTCACCTACAATCAAAGAGCATTCTGAACCCCACCGACAATAGAATTGGACCAAACTTGGCACACAGTTCTCCCATGACCAACAGAAAATACTGGAAGGGTTTGGTGGGCAGTGTCCTTTGGTTTTGGAGTTGTAGTTCACCTACATCCAGAGATCACTGTGGACTCAAACAATGATGGATCTGGACACAAATACTCAATATGCCCAAATGTGAACACTGGTGGAGTTTGGGGAAAATAGAATCTTGACATTCAGGAGTTGTAGTTGCTGGGATTTATAGTTCACCTACAATCACAGATTATTCTGAACCTCACCAACGATAGAATTGGGCCAAACCTCCCACACAGAACCCCCATGTGGGCCACAGCAACGCGTGGCAGGGGACGGCTAGCGTGTAGATATATATGTGTGTGTGTGTGTCTGTGGAATTATATAATTAGAGTTGGGTTTAGTAGTTATTTTCCAATCCAAAGATGAGAACTACTAGGTGAAATAATAATGCACGTAACATTTTCTAAATTATAACATTACAGTTTAAACTGAATTCAAAGTCATGACTGTGTTAGTATGAAATACTAACATGAAATGCATGAGAAAGCAGTTGTACTATAAGCTTTCATATGTTTCCTCCATGCAGAAGCTGATTTAATAAACGAAAATATATTCTGCCAACTATTTATCTCAGTTTCAAAGGTGCTATGGAGTTTAAACTGAGACAATGCCATTGACCTTTTCTGTCCTCTTACCACTTTAAAGAAAGAATTTCTATTCCTATTTTAAATAGAAGTGCAAGGGTTTGGGACAGAATGCAAGTATTGTATTGTCAGATAGAGGAATCCTGCCAGCCAGTTTCTTTTCTGTGGCCATGCCACTTTCCCAATCAGATGGAAAGTGAGAAATGGTAGTATATTTGTATGTGACAGCATATAAGAGAGGGTCCTGGGACCAAATCCAGTGGTACCAACTCTCAACAATGTCTGGTGGCTTACATTTACGAAACAGCCATCAAACACCACTTTAAAAAGTAAATTGCAATCCATTGAATATAAATAATAACAGTGATGTAGATCATAGAGGTAGATGTGGTGATGTGGTGTTTTGAATGTTGAATTAGGATACTTGGAGACCAAGGTTTAGATCCCATTTAGCCAAGTTACCCCAAAAAGTGAAAGTAATTATATCAACTACTATGACTAGTTATGCTTATTTTCTCTCCAAGGTGCCTTCTACATTGCCATATAATTCAGTTCAAAACAGATAATCTGGGTTTTATATGGCAGTACAGAAGGGACCGCAGTGATATTAATGGTAGATTTGAATGGAGGGTTCTTTTGGGATTATCAAGTGCATTCATTTTTGAGCTCCCTGAATGTTTTTGGTTTTTTGCGTATATGATCTCTTATTGTTCTTGCTGGCTGGGACTTCTACAAACTGAAGTCCAAATATCTGGAGGAACAGTAAGGTTGCATTATTAATGGTACAAATGGAATCAATCCTGCAAGGATCAGTGCTGCTACAGGCACCATACATGTGTTCACATGTACACACATAGTACAGTCATGTTTTCTCTCTGTCATACACACAATCCAAGGAATAGTCGCATTTACTGTCCACTCCAGCCTCATTTGAATAATGGAGTGGGGAAAGAGGTGGATATGACAAAGGACAGAGTCTCAGAGGCATGGTTTGACAGTCCATGTCTCTGAGACTCTGGCTTTAGTCGTATCAGCAGAGACACAATCAGAGCTAGCCTCTTGGCCAGGATATGGCCCAAGAGAGGACAACCCTTGGCCAGAAATACAGCCAAACTGATATGCTACAGCACTAAACCAGCTCTTGAATATTGGAAGGGAAGACATTATAGAATTGTTCCAATACTAATCATTTTAGCCTGATGCTAATGAACAAAGGTTTTCTGCGCCTAATTTGTCACAATACCTGCTGGTCATCTCTGTGCAATACACATTAAATAAATTATACTATCTGATGTAGAGAACTTGCCCTTCCTGCCCAGAAATGACCAGCCCACAACTGTGTACATTGTCCACGATTGTTTCTTCCCTTATAGCAGTGGTTCCCAACCTTTTATTGACCAGGGACCACTTGACCATGGACCATTCTCCAACACCAAAATCAGGTTCTGGTCAACTTTAGATTCAGTTTGGTTATTTGAGGTGCTGATTCAGAAAATTCCATTGGATAGACCATCATATACCATCTAGTAATCACTATCTGCTCACCCACAGAAAACAATATTTAATAAGCCTCGGCACTATAAGAGGGTTTAGTGAGACCAGTCACTCTCGCTGCAATGATGTAGTAACAGTGAGGCCACAGACCATATTTCAGTTCTTGCAGACCACTGGTGGTCCACAGACCACAGGTTGGGAACCACTGCCTTATAGAAATGCTCATAGTCTGCCTCATGTCTATGGACCATCACTTTGAGTCATACTG